GACAGTGGCAATGAAATACCAAAGCAGGTACACAGTGCAGTCAGGGAACTATATGGCAGATGGCCAGCAGAGTACAGGCAAAGCTTAGATCTATGCATCCCATGTTTGGAATACTTGCCTCAAGTATGAACATACTGTATATCCAACTCCATTCTTGTCAGCTTCTCTTATGTGGTTACAGTACACGTACTATCCTTCCTTCTATCTAGTTTGTTGGGAGACTAAACATGAAAATCAAAGTGAATGGCATTAGGGTAAATAAGACCACTGGTTGCCTGGGAAACAGTATACCCTGCCCCACTCTCTCAAGCCTAGCCTTTACTTTTCTCCAATCACTGGAGAGCAATAATACATTATTGACAGAGGGCCACAATAGGCAGCAGTGCAGCATTTTCAAATTGTATTTGAACAAGAGAGGCTTACTGTTATAAAATACATAAGGACAGTGAAAGAAAAGGAACAGAACACAAGAAGGTTGAAAAGATCCCAGAAAGATTAAAAAAACTACCCCGTGTAACCTACCATATCATAAATATCATATCTGATTTTAACTAAAATTTATTAGTAAGCTGACATAATTAGTGACAAGTCATAATCAACTGTTTACTTTGAAGATAAATATCTACTGGGAAGACTTGAATTAATTGTGTGCATTGAAATTTAGTGTTATTTCATTTCATTTTGATTTATTGTTTAGTTGAATAGGGACAAGTGTCAAGTATTAACAATACTATACACTTTAACATTTATAGTCAGAGCTAATTTGCAATGCCCGTCCCTAGATGGGCTTTTAGCAACATGAAATAAAAGTGTAAAATACAGTTAACAAATWAAAACATCAAAATATTAAAACTCACTACAAAACCAACTTAAAAACAAATCATTAAATGTGACAGTTCAGAGTTTAGAGGTTCCTATGTTGTAGAAATTTACTTCCATTTACACTTTAGTGCAGTTTTTAATACTTGCAAAGATAATTCCAGCCTGTCTTTTCTGCCATGCTTTAAACAAGGCAAATATTGCCAATCTTTACCCATTTGCAAGTCTATTAGTTCATACATATTAAAAAATTACTATTCATCATTTAAAATAGAAAATGACAAAATGTAAAATCACACAATTTGAACTTAATAAACACTGCAATGACAGTAAGTAAAATCAGAGATGTTTGCGAGTTCTGCTGTCTGACTGTTTCTAAAAAGTTACTAAGATTCATTTCATTTGGACAATACTSAGAAATAGCCTGAGCTTCTATTATAATTGCTCAAAACAGCCATTGTGTGCATATTTTGTGTAATCTTGAATTAAAGTATACACAAATAAYAAATACATTTAATATAAAGATAAGCAATTTTCAATCAACCTATTTTCATCAGAAGAATTTTAAAAAAGAAAGCATTACTAAAAGAACCTGAAGCAAAGGCACTCTATCTCACCAGTTAGTTACAGCTTGTGCACACCGGAGTATACAGAGTGAAGTAAAATCTCACCTGTCTTCTCTTTGATCTCACAGAGAACGCTGAAGAGTGCTGGTTTCATTCTGTGACAGTTCAGGGCATGCTTTCTGTAAGAAAGAAGAGGGATGAAACAGGTAAAAGATGTGTATGCATGATGCATGCATCATTTCTAAAGTGCGTAATGCCAAAAAACACAACAAAGCCATGATGTTTAGAGGCATTTTGAATAGGCAGATGCCTTTATTAGCACAGGAGCATCCTTGATGCGTCAGTCCACACTAACAAGAGTAATGTTGTCATTTGAATACTTTGCTTGATGGAACAAGTAATAATGCCAAACCTCAAGGTCATGATTACTGTGAACCTAATTTCAGAGGTAATACACATGATCTGATTTCAACCTCTTAAAGAAGCTGTCATTGCATGAAAGTAGATGGTGAGGTGACAAAACGTTTTAAATTTAAATGCAATGACAAAAACAAAACTCATTCATTTTCTTGATTAATTAGGGTGACAGTAATTAGGCCCTGAACACATGGAAATGTTGTCCTTCCAAAACAATGATTTTCCTCRTAAACATGGCACCATCTCCACAAACTGTTTTCATTCACACAGAAACAAAGAATGACTCAAATGCTGTAGTACTGCTGCCACAAAAACACACCAGAAACAGGAAAGATGATGAGAAGAAGCAGACACTCTACACTGTAAACACACACACACAGGTTTGTTTTTATATCCCYGTGGGGACCGTGGATTGACTTCCATTCACATTTTGGTAATTTTATGGCCTAACCCTGACCATTTACTCTAAAATTAACCTCACAGGTACCTACCTGACCATAAAGCTAACCTAAACTCAATCCACATCTTGGTCCTAAACCCAACCCCCCACCCAAAATTAGCATCTGTAGCTGTGGGGTCAAACACACATACACAAAAGACAAGGATGGTGAATACTAGAGCAAAAACCAAATCCTTTCTGAAATCTGACTATGAACGTCTCTTTTGTGTCACAAAAATCTACTGATGACATGTAACTGTGTAAGTTCATTTTCATAATGTCCTAAATCACGTGTCAAACTCAAGGTGGCTCCTGTGTGGCCCACGGAGGGGGGGGGGGGGGGGCCCCCCCAAACAAAAAAAGTGTGTGTGTGTGTGTGTATGTGTGTTAACATATACACACATATAATATGTGTAATATATATGTATATATTAACATGAAAATTGTTTCTTATATCAATTGTACACTAAATTTATGATTAAATGCAACAAAATAAACTTAAAAAGTGAAAGATAATAACAACTGTCCTACCCCTGAGCTGTTGATGTAACTTTAAGTAACTGAGCAATTTAGTTGGATAGCAGTGTTAATGTCTGAAAATAAGCTGCTTAAAAGTCAGCAGCATCAACCATAAACTAAATCTGCCATAATGCATACTTACTAGACACTCATCAGTGAGTAAAACTTCATTAGTTTTACTTTTAATAATATTTCTGTATTTTTAATTCAGATTTAATCAGTCATACACTTCTTATCAGTGTTTAAAAGAGGACATGTTAAAACACTGTTTAGTCAAACATGAAACGTCAAAGTTCATTACAAACAGCCCTTCGAGGGCCACCATAACGCTCATGTGGCCCTCGGTGAAAATGAGTTTGACACCCCTGCCCTAAATGGTAAGCACACAAAAATCACTTGTGCTACACAATAAAGTTTATAGGAAACTTCAAGTGGCTTCTTGAACTGCAGTTAGGGGAATTTGAACAATTGGGGTAATAGCATTTGACTTGCCAATCCATCCATCTATCCTTAATATAAATATATAAAGTCGAAGAATCAAGTGCTCCTATGACCTCTGGCATGACTGAGGCCTTGATTCTCCACAGCTTCTCTATTTTTCCTCTCAGACTTTGGCATTTTTCTAGCTTTCTTTCTAATGTTATATTCACTCAAATGTTGGAACACTGAATCTGAAGTTTTTTTCAGAGGTAATCTGGAGGATGGGTTTTGAAGTTAACATAGTTAACAACATCCATTCCATCTAACCCCTGTCTCTAGGCTTGCCCGTTTAGTAGCAATCCAACAGTGATAAATTATCTGCCCTCATCTATGAATGTCTTGTTCTAGGAGCTCATTTCTCATCAGAATGTACTGGTTCATCAACATCTGATGGAGACCTTGTTAACCCAGGTGAGTGACTGTAACATCAGGAGGAAGGAGCTCAAGAAAAACCAAGGGCTGAAAGAGGAAATAGAGAAGCTGTGGAGAGTCAAGGCCTCAGAGGGGCCAGAGGTCACTGGAGCACTTAGCGCTSCAACACCCAAACTGGAAGTGTAGGTACATGGTCCAAAGTCAAACAGAATCTGTAGAGGTCAAAAAGGCACTATATAAGAGTGATTTTTTTTCTTTCATTTGATTTTTATTTATTCACCAGCCATTTTAAGGAATTGTATTAATTTTCTGCTCAATTAAAAATACATAAATAAAAAAGACTAATAATTCAAATACTAAAAAGCATTTATTAATTGTATTAAAATTTAAAGTAGTCATACTAAAATATTAAAAAGCAATACGCTTATAATTAACACATTTATTGATAATTAAGATATTCTGTACTAGCAGGTATAAATATGAGCCCTAATGTGGACTGATGGCAAGTCTTTCAAGTCAAGAGACACAAACAGGTTTTAAGAATGAGTTGGATCTTGTAAACTAGACTTGCTACACTTTTATAAAGTTATCCATCATTGCCATAAAACTTGAGTGACACTTGTTTTCTACAAAGAACTATAAAATATACATCAGGAAGACTTTTCGGGTGCTTTTTTGAAAATGTAAAACAGATTTTGCTAGTAATATATCTGATTTAATATCAGACATATGATATGCAATAAAAGTGTTAGGATAAAACTATCAAAATCAAAACAACTCAACTTCTTACCTAAAAACACTAATTAGTAGGGGTGTAAGAAAATATCGATACACTGAAATATCGCGATATTTCATTTCCTGATACTGTATCAATATTCTAAAGCCCTGTATTGATTTTTTATTAAGGTTTAAAATGTCAACATTCCTGCCAGCCATTCATTTTTATGTTGTAGTTCAGCCTCTGACCACTAGTTGGCAGCAGTGAGCCAGCCATTTGGCTCCTCTACCTGTTGAGGTAGAGGCTATTGTTAAGTGTTGGGTGACCATATTGTAAATTAATATTAAAAACTAAAAGCTGCAAAATAAATATTTTCAAACTATTTATTGGCAAATTTTGTCTAATAATTGAAAACATGGATGAAATATGAAACAAATAAAATAGAAAGCAGAACACAGCTAAATGTATCAAAAGTATGTCTATGTAATATTAGAATTTTCTGAGACAATGAATTTTGGTTTTTCATTTTTTCCCAGTAAGAGGTTTTTATTTAATAGAATTTTTGGACAAAAAAATCGCAATATATCGCGATATATTGCCTTGCTTACAGTATCGTAATATATCGGGATATATCGTATCATGACCCCTCTGTCATGATATGTATCATATCGCCAAATTCTTGCCAATACACAGCCCTACTAATTAGATTTCAAACAGACAAAAGCAAAAATCAAAATCGTCATGACATAATAATAATCTGTTTGATTATAGGATGCAAGTGGTTCAGCCCCATCCTGTGCTAGAACTTGAATGACAGTCATACAAGCCAATTTATTAACAGATTCCTATGGTCTGTATCTCAACATATGGTGACAGGGTGAGAGAATGAGGGTGGATGGCAAGCAGGAAGTGTACTCTGCCACACAAAGTTCTGGGGACTGCTGGCCACTCCTCATTCTAACACACTGCCACTCTGCATAAAGGGGATGTCATGCTACCATATAAGACATCTCAACACTGATTTGTATATTGTCATGGTCACAGGAAAGATTGATGTATACATGTCAAACATGGTTAGAGTGAAAAATGAAAACAAGGACTGTCAAATGAAGTCACGCCAACAAGTATTTATTACAAGTATATGTGGCTASTAGTATTACCACAACTTTTGTAACAACATCAGCTGTTTAGTAGTGAATTTACTCAGGTTTAGACATTTTATCTGAAATAAAACACAAGTAAAATGACAAACACGAACAAACAAATAATAATATCAAAAAGGCACTCTGGGAGTTTAAGAAGGTGCTATAGAATGATGCACATTATTGTAAATACCACAACTGCTTTTGAGTAAATAGGTCGTTTTTTTTTTTTTAATATTTATTTTTAAGAAAGGAATATTACAGGAAGATACATTAACCACAAGAAATTAATCACCACCAGACTTCACAGATTTATAACATTCTACACTGCAACTGTCTCTAACTTCAAAGAAAACATGAAATTTAACTATAGTTTAACTTTTGTACCACACAACTTAAAGATAAACAAAATAGTCAAAATGAATAAGCATGAGCAACAAACACCTAACATCATTAATGCTGTCACAAACTGAGGCATGTGGTTTAAGTCTATAAACTAGTGGTCAAGAAAGTGCAACATCCCCATGTTCATAGGCTGCTGGTATAGCGTCATCCCTCCCCCTCATCTCATTAATAGAAACTCGATTTGYGGACAGCTGCACTCGCGTACACATTATAGGAGAATTGATTGCACCCAGCACACAATGAAAAGGATGAACACCAGAGAGGGAGGGAGTGAAAGGAGTGAATTAATTAAGAGAACCAGGTGGTCAAATGTTGGGTGGAAAATCACTAGCTAATGACACATCACACTGTGGCCAGAGTCTTGCAGTGGACGGTTGTCTATTGTTGAAATACTGACGCTTCATTTGAAACTGACCCTGTGCTCCTTCAGCCACATGGCAAATGAGTGTGAGTTAGTCCCTCAGCGGAATGCATGCTGCTTATGATAAGTGGGACACTTCTAAAACAAATATTATGAGGAGTCACACATGCATAATTGACACATCACTTACTCGACCTAACTATTATTTAGGACTGAGTATTCTTAACTTTTCCTATTTTTCCCCAATCATTTGCACTACGACATCTAACGTTATAGACCTGCTGTGAGGCAAAGCCCAAGATGAACTGTCCATACA